TTTCACTTGGTTATTTATATACAAGAATATTTTTTCCCTCTTAATATTGCAAACCCCTGGAGGCCTGGTCGAAGACCGGGCCTCGGACGTTGAACCCCGAAATTATCACAAGATAACATTGCATTTGTTGGCTGAGCACTTACTTGTAAGTTGGATTTGGTTATGCGAGTTTGTGTTGTAGCAGGATTTAAGCTGGGTCGTTATGGTGTTAATGTCTTAAGATAGTAGTGTTCAAGTGTGCGATGATGTAAAATGTCTTCTATTAAAGGTCAGTTCTATTAAAGGTCACCATCAAAGCACTTGATAATGGTCCAAGACGGACCGAAACGTCGTCGTCTCCTCATCTTCTGGTGTGTGGTTTAGTCTTGTATTAAAGGCGTTCGTATAAATCGACGCAATGAAAGTATTGGGAAGAGTTGCAATCCTCTTGCTGGTGGACGTACCCTCGACGCTTGGAATAAGATTTCTCCTGGGTGGTGGTGAAATATTTAACGTGACATTACGTGTAATTGGCTCAACCTGAAATGGGGACGTATTTAGTTTGTGTTAGTCTTTACATGACTGTATTTGTCCCTTAAGGGTGTACAAAAGAGGCCGGGGCGAAGCATTAAATAGTTATACGGCGTAGCTGTGTTATTAGTTAAAGGTTGGAGTGTGCATTAGGGTAGGGTGCAGCTGTTATAGCGGCAGCAGTCTGCGACAGCTGGCGGCGATTATCAGTGCAGCGGCTGCCACTGCTGCAATACCAGATATTAACGAGCTCCCACACAGCCTCGCCAATTAACATGAACATGAACCCAGCGCACTAAATGAACTTCTGGGGTGATTTATAGTGCGATGCGGCCGCTGCTAGGGCCAGGCTGCTGCTGGGATCTGGGTGCTGCTGGAGGCAGCGGTGGCCGGTGCTGGGACCTGGCTGGCTGGCTGGCTCGTTCCCTCACTCCTGGCTTGCTCCCTTGCTCCTGGTGGGTTGGCTGGATGGCCCCCTCGCCCCTGGTAAGGTAGCTGGTAGGATGATAGTTATGGTTGCGGATGAACCTGCCTGCAGCATTGTCCTCGCCGCTAACGCAGTCACCATCACCAACTTTACCTAAAGAGATCGTTGGTCTGTATCAGCCAGTTCCTCTTCTGCATCAGTTCATATTCTCTTGGAAGGAGTGTATTCTCGGAAGACGCGAAGAACAGCGGAGCTTTGGCGTAAGCCTTGTGGTGGATGCGTTGGTCCACACTCAATCCTCTGTTTTTACTCTAGTTGAAGAGAAGGGGTAAGCCTAAACTAAAAACTGTGCTAGAGGGGGTCATACCTCGCGGTTTATATAACATGCTCTTCATTGCAGTGTTGCACGCACGAGAGCAAAGTTTTACTGGCAAAGACAATGGGAAATCCTTCTCCGTGGAACACTATTTTGCCGGTGGGGAGAGGAAGGTTTCATGTTCTACGAACAGGAGAGCAGGGCGCGTGTGGTTTGGCTACGACTGGAAAGATACGAGGCAACATTCATAAGTGACAATCCTTTTAAGCCCTGCAGGTCTGGCGGCTTATGTAACGCTGTTTGTCTTTCTGCTCCAGTTGAACAGAAGACCTGCCAGGAGGCATGGCAGGTTATCTAACCGCGTGAGATAAATGAACAGCAGCACTAGTTATATGCTAGTCACGTACTAAGAATAGAAAGATGCAAATCCGAGAACAACCGTTCCCTTCGCAGGTGAAGAGAAATCTGAACTGAAATGGGGCGTTCCAGTTCAGAGATGTTTTCCAATAAACCCCAAGAACGACAAAGGCGGCTATATTGTGAAGCCGAAATGGTCGACTTATAGTTACAAGAATCTTCTAAAATCTAGGAAAGGCAAATAGAAAAAAAATCTCATCAGTGAAATAGGAATCTTAAAATACTTCTCTCATATGCAAACATATAGAACACGTCTAGCATTAGGCCCTTGCGTAAGGGATAAGGAACTTTTTCAGATAAAAAAAATATAGGAAATTCTGAGGGTACAGCTATTCTATTTTCAGTCCACCCCTGAAAACACAGTAATATATGATGCAAACATCAGATATATTAGGCGTCAGATCTAACCTTGCTGGGCTTTAAAAGTAGCCATAGATAGTGTACCTATGCACTCCACATCAGGCCCTGATTCCCGGAATTCTATATTCATCAGGAACTCTAATAAAAGAAAACCACAGGCCCTGAACATCATCAGTGAAAATAGCTCCACTCCACAGTGACGGTAGTAAAGCAGACGCAATTTTTTTTAGACCGATATTACTGACATCACTAAAATATAGCAAATATAAAAAAAGCTGTCGAATCACACAACGTAAAAAGACAATATTAAAGATTTGGGAGTAATCATGTCGGAAAACCTTGCCTTTGAAGAACACATTTAAATAGCTGTTACAACTGTTACAACAAGAGCAAATGACACCCAGGTTGGATAACAGAAACCCATAAGATATGCCAGACCAGTGATACTGTTATGACTAGTGGAGTATTGCTGTTACTCCTTGAATGTAATACCCCATTCAAAGCTACAGAAATTGCTGACCTGGAGAACATGCTACATCTTACTACCTTACTACCATCTTACTTCCTTAAAATACTAAATAAAACATCAAAATTATCGAGGGCTTAAAATTGTGTAATCTGCATTCTTTTGTGCGCAGGCGAGAGATGCATAATTTACACTTGGAACCAGTCCCTCTAATATTTACAAGTCTATACACGGAAATAATCCTCCACGAGACCCGGAGGCCTGACGAATGTGCACAGTAGCCCCGTTAAAAGGTGGAGGTGATTGGTACGATGACAGAATTCTATCAACGTCAAGGGCCCGAGACTCTTAAACTCTATCAACACATGAACATGAAATAGCATAGTTAACCGACCCCTCACGGTATTCAAAGAGAACTTTATAAACACCACCAAAGAATACCTGCTTGATGGGGTTCTGGGAATTCTACTCCACAAGCCCGGCCCGGGGCCAGGTTTGACTTGAGAGCTTGATCCAACAGGCTATTGCTTGGAGAGCAACGTATGGATATGCCACATATATAGTATAGCCCGGTTGGTCCTTCACGTATATCTTATCATACGGGCTGTGATTCATACGTTTGGCTGCGAGGAACTGCTAACAACCTGGTTGACCAACCAGGATGCCTGGTCAGAGCCTGGGCCCAGGGACGTTGATCCTCTTAACCAGCGCAAAGTAATTTAATGCGAGCGTTTAGTATACTTGGAGAGAATGTGGTGCGACAAAGGTGTGGGTGTGGTGGTGGAAGAGGTGAAGAGGGAGGGGCGGTAGGAAGCAGGTGGTGGGCGTGTAGGTGCGGCACGACCCTGCCACGATCGATGGAGACCCGCCCACTCTTCACGTCGACCTTGGCTGGGTCTCAGTCCTTAGCTGCTTCCTATCTTGCTTTTGGATAGCTTGGCCATCTGCGTATTTCACTACTACGTGAGCATGTGGTGCGAGTGTGCAGTCGCCATAATTATGGTCAGGATGATTGCTGTAGTAACCTCGGATGGTTTACCTATCCTCTTAATCTCTTATTTTCAGTCTCAGTGCTGTTCAAATAGCTGTGTTGAAACCATCGAAAGCATTTAACCATTGTACTTAAGACGTTAAATTAAATAATTATGTAAAATTAATCATTCTCAGTGAATGAGGTGGTAGAGATTCTCTGGAATAATTTTAACATGCGAAGTGGTGCTTGGAGCAATAGCTTGCTTTCTATGGCCAAGCGAGGCAATGACGTGCTTGTCAGCGCTAGTGAAAGTTCATAGTCGCGGTCAGAGACGCAAATTGATGGTAACTGAAAGCAAGTCATATGATTGTGGGTAAACTGGTGAAGGTAGACTAGTTGTGGGAACCGACCTGTGAGATTTATATTTGTTTAATTTATATGAATTTATATTTACGTTAATTTATATACTTCGATAGCAATTTGTATAATGATAAGTGGACTGTATTTCTGCAATAATCTCATAATCTCACAAATCGATCCTCTACACATTAGGGGGGTTATTAAATTAATATATATGCAGCCAATCAAACTGCATAATTAACTACATACATTGAAGAGGTTCCTTATCTTATAGTACAGCAGGTTAGTCCACCAGGTATAACTAGGGTGTAGACACCAAATTATCCTCTTTGAGGTAGCTTCCATATCACCCAGTAACTGGTGCACAAATCTTGCTTCCTCGTCTTGACCTGTCAAAAGTGCGCTAGCTGTGAAGCCAGAATCCTATATATGACAAGTATATCAGAGAAAACACTATACAGTACATGGAACAATAAAGACCTGGCTTAATTACCTTTAGTTTGAGGCTTCCACGTGCTCTAACCGGGTCACCCTATATAATGACATTAATGGCCATAAATGAAGATACATGGGTTTCGGATAGACACTTAACTTGAATTTGTAGACAGCGTGTTGAAAATGGTACACCTTTGGTTTCCATAACACTACGTCCAAGTAAATTTAACAGGAGCCGAATTTGCTCCCGTGTGAGCCTCTGGTCTCAATATAAACAATGGCTGCCCTCCTTCCTCACTCTGACGCCTGGCTTACATTGTCCACATGTCAGAAAGTGATAGAAGGGTCACATTTACTCTACTTTAATATTGATAATTAAGTTAATTTATATAAGATGTTTTTATGATGGTAAAGTCCAAAGACTAAGGTATTTAAGAATAATTCCCAGCAGAATAGCTGGTGAATTTATAATGGTATGTGGTGATGATATCCCGTTTTCTATAGACGGTAATTCCACTACAAGTTACGTTTTCTATGGGTAACTTGTTTATACAACACAGCTATTATCTGTATGATATATTAAATGGTGTCGGATTTTCCGACACTAGTTTAGGCCCTATAGTGTACCCCTTACCCCCTCCCACCCCCTCCACAATTTCTCGTGTACTTTGAAGATGCCACGTGTGTAAGGAATTGTTTAAAGATGTTTTAATAATTGCCATTTTTCTTCTTTCAGGAAAGGGGAGCCAGAAACACCCAATCATGTGCTGCTCATGACCATTTTGAACCCCGCCTACCCTATCACAGTGGTGAGTATGTTAATTGATGAATTTTGTTTATCAAATTTGTTTTGCAATTATCCAGACCGGCATGGGCCTGGACAGAATTATTTTGGTTGTAAAGCGGGTAATGTGAAGGTGAGCAGTGACTGACTCGTCAGGGAGAAGGAGGGGACAAGTCTTGGGTCCCGGTACCTGCAGAACGTTAATGCATCATACAAGCTTGTAGGAATTGAGAGGTGGGAGGGTGCGCGCGAGGATGGGCAAATATAAAATATAAAGAATATAATATAATATATATATAAAGATGGAGCCAATATAAAGGCCCGTCGGGAATGCTGCCACTCACCTGCCTACAATTCCTGGGTATTTTAAACCGTGACTCTCCTCCACGCTTGTGAAGCCTAAACAGATTGAAATGTTCCGCGAAGGCTTATTGTAGGTCCACCTTGTACACTGCCTGTGGTGGCTGACGCGGGTACACCAACCTTCATTATGCGTTAAATTTAAGTGAGCTACTTTTTAACACTGGATGGTTGTAATTGGATCTGGGCATGCTTGTTACAGTAATTGTATGAGCGAGCAAGACTTGGTGGGTGAACATGTGGCTAGTCTGTCAGTGGCATGTCATTTGTCAACCCCCCCCCCCCACAAACACACACACACAAAAACACACAAAAAAACACAAACACACACACACAAAAACACACACACACAAAAACACACACACACAAAAACACACACACACAAAAACACACACACACACACACACACACACACAAAAAACACACACACACACACACAAAAACACACACACACACACACACACACACACACACACACACACAAAAACACACACACACACAAAAACACACACAAAAACACACACACACACAAACACACACACACACACACAAAAACACACACACACACACACAAAAACACACACACACAAAAACACACACAAAAACACACACACACAAAAACACACACACACAAAAACACACACACACAAAAACACACACACACAAAAACACACACACAGAAACACACACACACAGAAACACACACACACAGAAACACACACACACACAAAAACACACACACACACACAAAAACACACACACACAAAAAAAACACACACACAAAAAAAAACACACACACACACAAAAACACACACACACACAAAAACACACACACACAAAAACACACACACACAAAAACACACACACACACACAAAAACACTCACAAAAACACACTCGCAAAACACACACACACACACACACACACACACACACACACACACACACACCCGACCATGCCACCACAGCCAGGTACTCCTGCACAACCTCCACATACATTTTCTTCACCCGCAGTTAAGAGTACACTTCAAAAGTATGACTATGGAAATTCCTGTAATCATATTGAAAACTACAAATATAAAGGCTTTGATTAGGAGAGGGAGAGGGATAGTGATTTTCAACAGTAAACTTTCAATTGAATAAATCACTTGCAATTAGCTATGTGGACTTCCAGCAACAGTCGCATCAATCGAGAAAATAATAATAATAATAATAATAATAATCAGGCCACGGCTGTATAAAAACTTTGGCACACGTCCATTGGTAATCAAAAGTACGCTTATTAATTCTTGATGGTGTTGCATGTGCCAAGGTAAGCCAGCGTATTGGCAGTGGTGAGCCGGGGTAGTGTGGCAGCCACATGTCTGGCCACTATCAGTCACCGCGTACTGAATACCTTGACAGTGAGTAAACTAACTCAAATGGCACTAGCGAAGGCCATCACTCGCCCGTTGACGCACTTGTCCCTTGCCCAGTCTCCCATAGCTTGGCATCTTGTTGCTCAACACTGCCCGCCTGATAACCTAATTACCACACTCGATATATCACGCTCTAGAGGCACAATACAATGATTGCTAGTGTATTTTCTGTTAAATTATGACCGAGAGATGTAGTGGGAACATTTCGGTAGCATTAGCAGCACAAATCGTGATTGTAGTGTGACAAGTCGTATCATTGGCCAGTCACTGTAACCCGAGAAGGCGTGAGGCCCCTGGCATCGTCAGGCTTAAACGTAGAGCTGACCATCTGCCGCGGTGTTGCGGCCACCACCACCACCTGCCCGCCTCTCTGGCCAAGCTTACTTCATGTTCCTGCTTTATCTTCCTTATTCAGTTTGACCCTCGGCATATGAAGATCACGTTAATAATTGACAAATGTCATTGATAACGTGCACAATTTTCGGTAATGTGGGGTTTGGAAAAGTTTATCACCACTTATCCTGACTGAAATATTAATTTTAATACACACAAATCACAATAGCGTGATGCATCAAATGAACAAATCCACAAGGGCCGTGACGTAGGTTCGAACCCTCGTCACGACCCTTGTGGATTTGTTCATTAATTTTAATAATTTTCTCTTTGAAAAGGAGCAGCAGCAGTACAGTACAATACAATTTTTAGCTCTTAACCTACGAGGTAGATGACAGACGGGAGTGTCCATGTGACTTGCAGATACCTTCCTTTACCCCCCACTCGGCCACGATAGTGGGGTGAGGGGGGGGGGGGGTATGATTGGGTGGTTGATATATGGTGTCACATTATTCAGAGAGAGAGGCGAGTAGTGAACAAGTGGTGTGTAGTTGTAATGACTTGGTCTAAACAAGACGGATGCTTGTCATACATAACCCCACACACCACTACGCTGCAGCAAAAAATAAGTTTTGGTTGTCTTCACGTATGTCAGGTGGCTTAGTTTTTCGTCAGTGTATGACAACTCTGTATTCTGAAGACGTAACACTACTTGGCAATGCTAGATTATGCGCATCATGACGTTGTTGACAAATATAATACCCGTATATTATTTAAATTAAAGTTTTAGGCATGCATCATTGCCATCTCTTAACGTGACCATTATAGGCCCTTACACTTTAAGATTTTGGGCACAGACATGTAATTTTAGAGCAGTTTGTGAACAAAATATGAGGCTTAAGTTGATATGGGAGAGGGGCTGTAACATTAACGACCAGGTGTGCGCGCGCGCGTGCGTGTCCCTCCGGCTGGCTATTAGAAAGAGAAGAGCAGACATTCTTGGCACTGACCATCGCAATGGTCGGAAGCTGGTGGTTAGATACATTATAGCTCCTCTTACCCGACCTCCTGACACACTCAGGTGAGCAGTCGTCCCCTATAACCTTCCACAGGTATTAATTGTGGCACGAGACACTGGTTTCAAATGAATTTCACAGGGTACAAAGTTGTGGCCAATTTGTACCTACAGGTACAACCACCTGTAGGATCTAGAATCTCTGGTACATTTAGCTTCCGGTGGAAGCTGAACTGAACAGGGAGTGTTTTAAGTAGAAGTTGAATGGTTGATGCTGACCCGAGGCCGGCTTCGGGAGTAGAACTCCCTGAAGCCACTCCAGGTATGATCCAGTTATAACTGCTCTCGTCTATACACGAGTCGTCCTTCTTTCCAGGTCTGTTCCTCACTTTGTCATAATTCCTCTCATCCCTCGCTTTCACACAATTGTCAAGATCCTCGAATCACGCAGTTAAATATTATAACTAAAAGAGCACATAACTCCTGACAGTTGGTCTCGTATACAAATCTGCAGATGAAACGGTCGAGGATTTCGCCGTGAAGAGAGATGTCGAGAAGTAAGAATCTACCACCGGACTCTTCCGGGGTGACTAAAACCTCGCGTGTAAGTGGAACACAATAGATGATGTACAATATGAGAACAATTCCAACAGTAGCCTGAATCATCATAGTTAATGATTAACGAGCGATCATCAGTTAATGAGACTGAAAAAATCTCATTAAACCAACATAACAAAAGTGACCTATAGAATAATATTCTCGATCTTCACGACCAGTAAACTTGTGTACCTCACTTTCTCAAGAACACGGCTCTAATCACAACATGCAGAGTTCCCAGATGATGCATAGGGACCGGGTATTTAATTTACAAATTGGGTCACCTTTACTAAATAAGGAACTATCTAGCATTCCTGGAAAACAGCCCTAAGCACCCAACCAACAATAGAGGTCATAAAGATAGAACTACTAAGTATGATCGGTGTGAAGAAAGGTACAAAATATCACGTTAAACAAATATATTATTTAACCTATGAAATGCAGATAAAAAAGTTAGTCCCATTCATAAGAGGACGTGCACCGAATATGATATCGAAATCCTAACAAATTGGAATGAATGTGAATGTTAGCAAAGCGATGCATAAAGCGTAAGATAACGTGTCAAATTTGAGTTAGTTTAGTGAGCTGAATACAACCCGGACGCGTCATTCTTCGCGCATTACACCAAAATATGCACAAACGGCCATGCAAGACTTGTATTAAATCTGAAATTGTCTCTTCCAGTGGTCAATTGTACATGCACTTCCCTGTTCCCTCTTAAACTTCCCTGTATGAGTGGGATTGGGTGGTTATAGAATAGGAGCTGCCTCGTATGGGCCAATAGGCCTTCTGCAGTTACCTTTGTTCTTATGTTCTTATGTTATGTTCTCTTCCTTAACTTAGTACCTCCCCTTCCCCCTCCGTTCCTACTTCCCTCCTTTCCTAGCGCGAATGTAACAATGTTCGCTAACTTGACTAAAATTAGTTAAGGTGAATGTTTGAGGAATGTGTTGGAAGCGCCTGCAAACTTGCAACATAACCTGTAAAGCGTGGCGATTCCTGGGACTACTAGAGCGATCATCGCCTCATAATACTTGGACAGGACAGTAATAGTCATTCTAAATGATAAATGTTTGTTTACATGCAGGAGGGATACATATGTCTAACTTTTTAGTCTGGCAGCTGGGGTTCATGCGTGGCTGGTGTTGGGGCAAGTGTTACTACAGGTTATTGGTTGGAGCTGGCTTGGTGCAAGATCTGAGCATGGTACACCAGACCAGATCATTAGAGGCTCTTACACGAGAATAAAGTGTCTTAAAGAATGGTAGCGAAACCGAGTCGAATGGTAGCAGAGCCAAAAATGG